AAGCCAGGCGGAGAGTTTGGGCATTTTTCAGTCTTTTCGTTTATTTGTGTTGATCCTCAAGTGACCACATTTTCTGTGCCTGTCATTTGAATGCTTTGAACATGGAACAGAGCTTTTGGAATTTGAAGTTGTGGCTGAAGCTGGAGGTAAGCCAACCGCAGGCTATTTGTGCTTCTCCCATTGTTTTGTTCTCATCCCTTCCCTGGCCTCTCTCTCTCCTTCCCTCCCTCTCTCCTTCCTTCTTTCCTTCTCTCTCGGCCTCTCTTTCTTTTAAGTTAACGTTCTGGTTGGGTTGGTCATTCACTCCCACCTCCAGTTCATGGTGTGTCCGGGGCAGGCTGGACACAAAGCCAGGCCTTACAGGAGGGTGCATGGGAACGCAGGGCCCAGGTGGGACGCATGGGTGCAGGTGCAGCAGGGTATCGCTGTGCCCTGGCTCAGGCCAGAGAACCTCTGGCTGTGGCAGGTCCTGCAGAGAGGCCGGGATGGCTGGCTGGGCCAGAGAAAGAAAGAAGGAAAGAAGGGAAGGCTGCTGCTCCTGCCATAGCCGTGGGGACACCAGCGCCTCGCGGTTGCTCCTCTCAGGCACAAGATGGCACTCTTAAGCTTTACAAGGAGCTGGGTGCTCAGAGTGTAAATGTGACATTCCACCCTTCCCCAGCCCCTCTCCCTGAGAGGCTCACAGGGAGGCAGGAAGAGGGGAGGAGAGTTGGAGGCCTCCTGGACGTTTCCTGGCGCCCACAGTGTGGGGCCCCGCTGTCCCCTGGGCGGTCAGAGCTCCCAGAGACCCACAGGGGGCTGCTCTCAAACCCAGGAATTGCCGGGGTGGTCCTCACTGAGGCCCCTGCAGCTGGGGTCTTGGGCTTTGTTTCCTGGAAGGAGCAGAAGCAGTAAAAAGAGCCGGCTCTGACCTGCGAAACACCACCAGACTGGCCCGGACAAATGGGCTGCAGCCCAGCTCAGGCCCTGATCTGATGGGAGGGCCTGCGTTTGCTCACCTGGTGCAGGTTCAGAGCTGTGCTGATGAAGGCTGCCTTGCAGGGAGGCCTCTGGGTGTCTGGGAAGCCCTGGATCTGCTCCAGTGGGCGAGGACCCAAGCACATCCAGACCCCTTCTCTAGGAGGCCTTCCCAGGGCCCAGGGCGGGGAGGAGCGTGGCCTGCTGCTTACAGCATCTCCCTTGGCTGTGATTAGCCACCTGTCTGCCTGCGAGCCTCTGAGGCGGGGCCCAGCCGCGTCAGCTTTGAGACCAGCGCTGGGCTGGAGCTGGGTGCACTGGGAAGATAGTGGGGTCACATCAGCCCCTTGTGACAACTGTGTGACTCAGGAACCAAAGCTAAGGGATTTTGGAGCCACGAGGATCCAAGGCCACAGGAAGTGGTGTTAGGGTTGGGGGATGGAAACCTGCTGTGGAGGCAAGGGTGAGAGGTCAGGATGAACAAGCTTTCACACCACTCTGCTGCTAGCAAATGGGCAATCCTTGCAAGCTCTCTGGACCTCAGTTCAACCGTCTGCAAAAGGAGCGTGAGGGTCCAATCAGGTTTCAAATTGTGGGTCGCACAGTAAACGTAAATTAGAACAGATGAGAAAGTGCCAGGATTCAGGGCATGTGGTAAGGATAAATACTATTTCTTGAAACTTTTAGCATATCTGTGTACATATGCACACGCAATTGCACACACAGACATGCACACACACAAACACGAATGCATGTGCATATGCATATATGTATGTACTTCAGGCCACGGAGTTAGACAGTTTGAGAAGCTGCAGCCCCAGAGTTCTGTAAGACAGTGTGGCGCAGAGGGAGCAGCTTGGCTTCAGAGTTCATGTGTCTGGGTTCTCATGTGGCCCCACCTCGTTTGTTAGCCACGTGACCTTGCATCTGTCTTTGCTTCGTTTGCTGAGCCTTGCTAGTCGGTGGGATGCTCAGGGCCACATCCGGATGCAATTGGGTGGGGTGAATACAGAGACCAACTGGGGGTGCTCTGTCTTTCTCTTTCCAGCTCTCGTGCTACTCCAACTCTACTAACCTTGCCTCACTGATCATTCTGATGTCTAGTCACTCTGCTCCTCTCAAGAAACCCTGACATCGAGGTCCTCCTCCCACATAGTAGCTGTCTTTTAGAAACCCGCATAGAGTGAATAGGGGAAACTGAGGGCCACTGTAAACCAACCTGTGTGGCTCTTGCTGTGTAAGCCAGTGCCGTGGCTGGGTGCTTTTGCAAGAGCATAACGGCCCTGTAATCTGTTGCTGTGGAGAGTCCTAATTTACTTGGTGTTCTCTAGGTCAGTCCACCTACACACGGCTTCCTGGCGCTGGAGTAATTTTAACTTGATTGAAGACTTGCTGGTGGGTCCTGGCGGGGTGTACAGAGGGAGAGTTCTGTCAGAAGCAAAGATCCACAAGGACAGGCTGTACAGTGAGGACTCCAGGGGTATGAAGAGACCAGTGAGTTGGCAAAAGGGAAATGGCGGCGGATGGACGCCAGGGCAGAACAGGTCAGCTCTCCTCTCTGCTCTGAATGTCAATTCCACCCTCCTCTGAAAGGTACAATCGACCCTTTCTGTCATCACTCATTGATCGTCTTTTGCAAAGGTCTGTATTACTGGTTTGGACAGAAGTGTAGATGTTGTCTTTGTTTTTCATAAGCTGGTGTCTCAGGATGAGGCTGGGAAGAAGACAGAGTCCCTGGCTGGGAGGAGCCCTGCGGTCAAGGTGGCACCTCCTTTCTAGTGACCTGCCTGTTTGGCTCAAGCATTACCTGGCTGCTGAGCCCCTGTGTGCTTATCTGGCTACTCCAGCCTCTGATCTCCTGCATCCCAGAACTCCAGCCAGCCTCCTGAGATGACCAGCCCATGTTCCCCACCTGGGTTACGGCGATAGCCAGTGAGAGATCCCAAACTGAGAATGTGGAGGCCAGGGTTCCAGCTCTGGCCTCTCTCCCTGGAACTCCTGGGCCCTGGGTCTCAGTTTCCCCATCTGAAAAGCAGAGGGGCCACATGGAATCATCTCTAGGCCCCTGAGGCTCCAGCAGTCCCCGTCTCCGCGTCTGGCTGGGCAGAGCTTACTCATCTGCTCCCCAGTGCTTGGACTTGGGTCTTAATGTCCCTTCCCCAGATCCAGGTGCCATGGCTCCCAGCTTCACCTTGAATCAGACCCTAATTCCTAACAATTTTATTCACAAAAGCTTTGGTTTGATCACTAGGATCCTTGCTGGGACTCCTTTAGTCCTGTTTCTGATCCAGTGGAAACTTTTTCACCTTCAAGAATGTCATGCAATTATCTCCCTGGAGTTTCCCTATTAGTTTTATAATCAACTTCACTTGACCAACTAAGAATTGATATTCAGACCAAATGCATTCTTGTCAAACTGCATAATTTTACCTCCTGGTTCTACTACTTTGTTCTCTGTTATTATAGATAATGTTTAACTAGCATTGCCTTAATTGTGTTTGCAAAACATTATTTCTACGGGATATTAGAAGGCGTTTTGCAGGGAAGTGGGAGGAGTGTTCTAAAATCCAATATACTTGGGAGGCACAAGTCAAATACATTTGAACTGATTTCATGAGTGCAGACCTTTTCAGAGCCTTATCTATGCAAAGAGTGTCGGGTTGGGGGAGAGCTCTGCCCTCACTGCCTCTGTCCTGCTAGGGGATTGTGGCTCCACGGTCAGGGCTGCAACAAGGAGCTGAAGTGCATCATCTCTGAGGTCCTTTTCAAGCTCTGCTCTTCCATGGTTTTGGTTCTGCTTCTCTCTTCCTTTTAACTAGTCAGCTGAGAGGAATTTCTGGATGTTTCCAATATATAAGATACTGATCTGTGTGCTGTGGGAGTGCCAAGTGGACCAGACATGGCCTCTGCCCTCAAAAAGGTTCAACTCTCCTTGGGAGAGGACACGTCAAGAGTTTGCTGGTGATTCAAGGTCATCTATGGGAAGCCACATGATTAGGAAGAAATCCGGAGAGAGAAGGACAGTGGTCTGGGCCAGTTACTGGGGTTTAATGGATGAAGTTGGACCTTAGGTGCCTATTACGAGAGAGCGATATTTGGATAGGTGGAGAACATGAGGTACCCCCAGTGGGAGTCATCAACGGCGTGGCGGTGGAAATGATGAGGCTGGGGTGCTGCATGGGACCTCGTTTCATAATGGAAGGATGGGGACGTTTCATTCCAATGCTGCAAGTGGCAGCTCAGTTTTACTTAAATAGGCTTCCTCTGCGTAGTCCTGGGTCCTTCCTGTCCGTCTGTCATCACTGCTCCGGCTACTCCCTCCCACCTCAGCTGGCTCATTTGTACTTTTCCAAAAAGTACACATACATAGAGTGTGATCCACAGTATTTCCCTTTCTCTCTCATGAGTGAGCGGTTTGGAGGATGTGACATTGTCCTGCCTTCTTCCCTGCTTTGCTCTGAGGGTACATACAGGGGCACCCCAGAAACACCAATGTCTGCATGTGGCATGGGGAGCCCATGTGAACAGTGCGATGATTCTGTCATGCCTGGAAGAAGGGAGCCGTCGCTTTGGGACTGTAGAAGCCAGTGTAGTAGAAAGGAAGAGCATGCGACAGCTGTAGCCTTTGGGATGAGCACATTCACAGTGAACAATCCTTTAAATGAATTAGTTCATTAATTTGTTCCACAGATATATTTATCTGAGCACCTTTGACGGGCTATGCACTCACGATATAAAGGGGAAAGGGCAAAGGCATAGGCCTTGTTTTTGGGGTGCTCATGATGGACAAGGAAAGGCAAGCATGATAAACAACAAAATACCCTGCGGCCAGTGCCCCACTGCCTTAGTCCCCCACGCCCTGGGCCAGGTGCCCTGCAGTCCTTATTTTCTTCTTTCAGGAAATGCTCACGACAGTCCTTTCCAAGCTGGCAGAGTTAGTCTGTGGTTTATATGATTGTGTATTTTACAGCTGTAGAAACTCAATGACAAAGCAGGGCGAAGACCTTAGTCTGTGTGATTCTGTGGTGTTTGTTCTCTCTCAGGCCCCAGGGTCACGATAGATATGGGAGTGAAGGTTCTGGACCACAGAGGAGAAGTTAACTGTGACTGGAGAGCCAAGGAGGGCTTGATGGACAAGGAACCATCTGGATTGGGTCTTGAAGGGTGAGTAGAAGTTTTCAAAGCATGAATTTCGGGCACAGAAGGGAAAAGCATTTTTGGAATAGGGAATAACATGTGCAAAGGCCACAGGTCAGAGAAAAGGGGATTAGGAATCTGTGAGAGGTTACGTCCAGTGTGGGAAGGGATGCTTGGGCTGGTCTGGGAGGAAGAAAGCTGAGGGCTGAATAAGGCCCCCACATGCCAGGGCGAGGAGTCAGTATTGCAAGCTGTTAATAACATAGATTTTAAACCAGAGGAGTTACCTGAATTTCTCTCCTCTTCTCCCCAACTTTACTAAAACAAAGTCACGTGAGGTTATGTGTTCGAAGGATGACATGTTTATCTGGGGGTAGAAGCAAGAGGCAGACCATTATTCAGTCCGTGAGGGCACCTGTACACCTTTAAATGGCACATAAGCAGTGCAACAGCTCCAGCCCCTGCTTGCTGCCCAGGGCAAACTGCCCCTGTCCGCAGCGGCACTATTTCATTGAGCAGAGAAATCTCAAAACCCCTGCCAACTCTGCAAAAGTTAAACATAGAGTTACCATACGTAATTCCACTCCTAGCTGTATGCCCCAAAGAATTGAAAACCGGGACTAAAACAAATATTCTTACACAGATGCTTATAGAGCACTGTTCATGACAGCCACAAGGTGCAAATAACCCAAATGTCCATCAACAGATGAATGGGTCTATAAAACGTGGTGCAGCCATACAATGGAATATTATTTGGCCATATAAAGGAACAAAGCACTGACACATGCTACAGCATGGGATGAACCCTGGAAACATTACATGTGACTGAAAAAAGGCCAACCACAAAAGGCTACATTTTGTATGATCACATTTATATGAAAGCTCCAGAAAGCAAATTGGTGGTTGCTAGGGGCTGAGGGTTGGGGGGAATGGGGAGTGACTACTAATAGGTACGGGGTTTTATTTTGGGGTGATGAAAATGTTTTGGAATTAGAGAGGTGATGGTTGCACAATGTTGTGAATATAATCAATGCCATTGAATTGTGCACTTCAAAGTGCTTAATTTTATGTTATGTGAATTCCACAGCAATAAACAAAAAATCCTCATCAACACTGTGCTCCAATGGGCACTGCCTATCGACTGGAGAAGGGAGCAGCGTGGCCAACAGCCTCCGGACTGGCAGCGTGTGTTCAGGCTTCCCTGGGAGGCCCAGGCCCCATTCTTGCCACAGAGACCACCCCAGAGGCCTCGGGGAGGACAGGCTTCTTTACCATGTCAAGTGGTTATTTCCACATTGACCCATTTGACTCTGTAAATCACTTTCTTGAATGCGAGATAGTAAAGGGCAAAAGTTATTTCTTTCCTATTCTTTTAATTGCCAGGATCAATAGGGCACAATTGATTTGAATTGAGAAATAGTCTCCAGGTAACATTTAGGGACAATCATTGAGATCGGCACATTGAGAGTGACTGTGTGCTGCCCTCCGAGGGACTGCCTCTGGGGTTCTGTCCACCGCAGCGAAGCCAGGGGACGGCCTCTGCGCGGTCAGTTGGATAGGCTGTGTCTGCTTCTGCTTGGGTTGAGGTCATGGGAGGGTCAGGCCCTGAAACTACGCTGGAGGGCGGGGGTCTGTGCTCCACGCCTCATGGCCCGGTGCTGGGGAGAGGTCTCTGAGCAGCGGCCGGCCCCCGGGAGCGCCCAGGCTGACTTGCATCTCCTTGGCTCTCTCACTCAGGAGCTCCACTGTGATGGGGTCTGCCCTCTGAGGCCCCTTTCTGCGGGAGTTTGCTGCCATCACAACTGGAGGGGACAGCGACCCTGTCCTTTGGGTCTCTGTTCTGGGTGGTGTGAGGCAGGGACCATGTGATCAGCCTGTGCATATGACCCCCCTGGTGGCCTGCGCCTTTCTGTAACTAATGGGAGGAACGGTTGGTCTCAGAAGAGAAGCCGGTTTCCAGCCCAATACTTGAGGAGTGATATTAAAGGGAGAAAGAAATTCTGTTGACTCCTAATATCCTACCTTGGTTAGACAGCTCGTCAATAGGATTGGGGGACAGGATTGATCTTTCGCTTATAATGCAGAACATTCAATGGATAGCAAAAGTGCTTTTAAAAGGGGCCCATGGAACACTTTGAAAATATTAATTAGTGTGTTGAAGCATTCTGCACAGCATATCATAGTGAAACTGCTCCAGGGGGTTGCTTGAGATGAATTATTAATAAGCATCCCTCTCCACCCTGCACCTCCCACCCTGATTTGATGGGAGTGGGTGTGGGTTGGGTGTCTGTTAGATGCATTCACTGCTCATTTCATGCAAATGGGGCAGTTGGGGTCACCTATGTTTGGGGCCCGTGTGTCTGGAAAAGAAGACATACCCCGAACACCAACAACACACACTGGAGGAGAGAGGCTGTGCTGGAAGTGACTGCGTTGGGTCTGGTTCTTGATATTCCAATTGGAAACCAAATGGGTATGGCTTTTGGGGGTGAGTTTAAGGTTTCTTAAGGATTCACGCCAGAGAGTGAGGGTGACAAGGCTCAGGAAGCAGCAGCTTTTCAGAACGATCAGAGAAACCTGGGAGGCTTCTTTCTAGAATCCTCGGACACCCGCTTTGTCTGTATCACGGGTGGGAGGAACCACCATTCCCTTCCCAACTGATCTGAGTGGTGGCCCGAATTCGCCAAAGCGTATGGAAATACAACGCCCCCTAAACAAGTTAGTGGGCCGATTCTGAGCTGAGAGCGAAGCCTGCCTTTTCCTGTTTTCAGAAGCATAGATTTGTAGAAATATAAACATATTAGGCAGGGCATTTTGCTTTAGAATTGTAAACTAATTCAATCCAGGATCATCGGACTACTTATAGTTCTGTAGAAGTGAACAATCAGGATCGGTGGGTTAATCTAGCTATTGTGAGCCTTCCTTACCTTGGAAATAAGCCAAGGCATGAATTCACAGGAATGCCTCCGACAGCCCCTCGTTTGTCTGCTTTTGTTCCTTCCCTCCCCCAACTCATTTCACACTTTGCACTTACGGACTCCACGTCTTTTTTCTTTAAAAAAAATATGTACAGATGTCTTGGCTTGCTGGAAAACACTCAAAAACTCTGTCTGTAATGATGGAGATTTTCGACATTATTGGAGATGTAGACCATCAGATGAAATGGTAAATTTTCCACTTTAATTTTATGGGTGTTCACTGTTTTCAGGATATAAAAGAAATGGCCTTTCCAGTTTAAAAATGAATTAGTCAACTGGACTTCTTTGTTCGATAGGTTTTACAAGGATAACTCTGGTCTCTTGGGCCATACAAATGTGCCTTTCTCCCCCAAAAGTTTGAGGTGTCATATTGGACTCCTTTGTGTAACTCTCCAGGGAAAACCGCAAACCCTAAGCTTAACTGGAATTTTCGTGTTGACAACTTCCTGCAATTATCCTAGGAGCCGATCGTTAGCAGTGGACTGTGTTCAGGCAGGGAGGGACGCAGTAGCCGGGGACGCTTCTGAAACACCACCCAGACGCCTCTGCCTTTTATGGAGTTAAGAGCCTGACAAATTTTCCTGAGGAAGCCGTCCTCGCACACCGCGGACGTTATTGGCACCACGTCCTCTTGAGCGGGTTCTGTAGCCAACTGATTAATATTTTAAGCATGTAGACGACCTCCAGACCTTCTGAGTCAAATTTCTCTCTCTCCATCTTTCTTTCTCTATGTCTGTCCCTCCTGGAAAAAAAAAAAGACTTCTCAGCTAAAGGTCTCTATGAAATTTCACTTCCCTGGTGCGATATTATTATTTTATTCACTTCATTTCGTCAGAATGAAGCCTAGATTTAAAAGAGAAAAATTAGCGCTGCCAACAGTGAAAGCACAATCGGACACCCTCCCGGTGTCATTTGGGGAGGGGTCTCCTTTTTGGAGAGCGTGACCCGGCCGGCCGTGCGCAGAACCTGCTGTCCATCTCCAGCGCAAGCTGAGCGAAGGACGAAGAAGGGAAAGGAAATGAGCCCTGAGATTCTGCGGCCGTGTTCCTCACCTCACACATGGACAAAGGAATCTGCAGCCAGCAGCCTTGTGTGTGTGTGCGTGTGTGCGTGTGTCAGGGGGGCTTGCTAGAAATTGCAAAGTTTTATTTTTATTTATTGTTTGGTGATGATTTAGATACCCCACGCTGCCAAATCATAAACAGAAGGAAGCCCACGTTTGGCTTTTATCAGCTAAGAGAATTAAGGTTATTTTTTTCCTTGACTTTTTTTTTTTTTAACAGCCCCAGTGCCTTGGCCAGATTCCAGTTCAGGTAATTACATTCTGTCTTCCTAAATTCCCCTGTAACTCCAATTGGGCAAGCTGCTCTTCACTTCTCTCCTAGAAGCTGCTGTGCCGGGTGCCTGGCATCAAACGGGGTGGCATTCCAGGAGTGGTCCCAAGGTGTTCCGCTGGAAATGCATTTCCAGCGGCTTCTGCATGCAGGGCTTGCGTGCAAATGGAAGTAGTATTATTTATTGCTCTTTTCCATCAGCAGCTGCCAACCCCGAAACTATCTCTGAATGACATTTTAAATATGAAGGCCAGGGTCATTAGGATGATGAGATACAAGGGTCCATTTTGTTCACCTCTAGAATTATTGGGTGACTGAACGGGACCGGGGACTGAAAAGAAGGAGAACACATCTGTCACGGGAAATAATTCCTTTTCCACAAAACGGCTCTTTTTTTTTCTTATTTGTATGTTTGCTGTCTCCCGATTAAAATTAAGGAGGATTATTGGGCGTTGTTTTTGTTTTTGTTTTTCTAGGGATGAATGGAAATGGGGGTGTTTTCCATGTGCAGGAGTAAAATACCATTGGCTTTTTAAAAAGTCAATTTCTTTACAGCTGATTTTTCAAATATTTATTGAGTACCTGCCATACACCAGACCTTGTCAGAGGGCTTTTTAGGCCACAAAAGCGCTTATTGTTTTTATCCTTTTCATTAATATTTATTTTAATTATGGATATTAATGTTTTCTTCAAAAACAATGAAAGTAATTCCTATAAAATAGCATCTGTACAGATGACCAATTCTGAAATAACACGCTCGTGTTTACACAATACGTCATAATGCCCTGTGTAGATGGCTGATGTTAATGAAAATAGATTTCCCAAGATTGACACCAATAGTCACCACAAAATAGAATTTAGGATGTGTACTGAAAGACCAGGAAGAAATGGGATATATGAAAAGCACTTTCATTTTAAAGATAAACACAAGAGTAAAGTGATTCTTTTTCTAGTTGCCAGTACAGCTTCAGGAAACTGCTGCCACGGGCCTATTGTCAATTCTGTTTGTTTCCTGATTCCTACTAACCCAGGAGGTGAAGGTGTGGTAGACAGTATTTCTGAAAGAGACTGAGTTGATGCTGTGGGCATGCGCCATGTTGTGCAGTCCTAGTCTTGGTCTTCCCACATCCTGAAAGCACACAGATCCTCCTAGCACTTTTAATTTTTATTTTCTGTTAGCTTTAATTTTCCCAACTCTGCATCCTTCCACCACGAGGTGCCATAAATTGATGGTGCTATCCATTTACAGGTGGTGATCAAAGCTACTCTGAGGGAACCGACGACCACGTCTGACGATGGTCCTATCATCCTGTGTTTGGATAATAATTTCTTTTCGCCCTCTCACTCCCCCAATAGAGTCATTCTTTACAAAGCGTCGAGTCCAGGCAGATATTAAACAACTCAGCTCAACCCAGGGATCTCCTCTGGGCTTGTAACTCTAGTGAATTGCATTTTTTCCTAATTACAGGAAAAATAGCAAATTGGCAAACATCAGGAAGTGGGTACACCCCCTCTGATTTACAAGGAAGAGTGTAGGGTGACTTTACAGCTCAGGAATTCAGTGAAATAAATTTATGGTTAGAAAAATTCATGTTCTTAATGTGATGAAGGTCCTTTAACTTTTAACACGCTTCTCCAGTTAAGCTGTGCAGGACTCACACGGAAATGGCTGTCTACAGCTGCTGCAAATTGATTTATCCCCAGATAATAGTCAGAGCTGCAGACCAAATTGTTGGAAAGAAACAGGTCTTTAATTTCGGTGTTTGGGGCTGTCTATATATTGTTTATGCATATTCCCGTTGTGTATATGAGCAGAGATTTGTGGTGGCCTAGCTTTTCCGGGCAATCAGGGTAATTTCCCTCTAGCCCCGAGGCCGGCACTGCCGAGGATCTCTGTATACCGCCTCCTCGCCGGGGGCTGCAGCCCACAGCAACTCCTTCCTTGGCATTCGTGGAATTCTTCAAAGAGTCAGGTGGTCTACGTGAGAAATTACGGAATCAATGTCTATGACAATACTAATTTGTGTTTGG